CAAAGCGGTTCACAAAAGATTACCTGTGGCTATAGGGCCTTTACAACCAGCCAATAACTTCCTCAACTCCCTGGGGAGCATACAGCCGGAGCTGCCATTTCGGCGCTCACAGCTAGCATTCAGCAATTCTAGCACTGCCCAACCGCGTACTCATTTACAGCTGAGTAGACTGGAACAAGCGGAGCAAAGTATCTTGTTCGAGTGCCGTGACGTGACTCGAACCCGCAACCGTTCGGTTACGAGCCCGGCGTCCTGCCACTAGACTATCGTGCCTCCAATGTAATGGAATCTAATAGCAATATATATGGTAAAATCGTTACAGATCGTTGCTATGTTCTATCTTTTATACCTTAGGAAACCTCTACGATAGTTTTCTTTAATTAGCACACACTCGTTAGTATTGTAAGCACTGTTCATGCAGCAGTTCTCGTCATTGAGAGGAACTACACACAGGACAAAACATTTAACTCAGATGACAAAGCATGTTCATCTTATGATTTGTTTCAATAATGGATGTTTGTCTTGGTTATTTTGTTTTGTCAATAGTTGAATTATAACAAACGGGAAAAAGGGGTTAGTTTTCCGTATCAATAATCCATATGTTCAAGATAGACCTAGATAAAATAATATTGTCATCAAAAAAGTGCAGACGTATACCACAGAGTGTCTATGTGGTCAATTGTACCTTCGAACTAAACTAAATGCAATTTATACGAATAAACACAATGATGAAGAACCTTTATTACTGTAAAACAAAGTATGTGCTGAAATAATTTGATGAACCATCATTCGGCCAGTCATTAAAGGTAACGTTGTAACAGAGCTTGCGTCAGCATTTTCCGTTAACATTTACGACGCACAATGCGTAAATACTGTGTCATCTGTGTCGACACTTAATAATTGACAACTGCAAAAGTAGAAATTCGCAGGCTAGGATATTTTGCATATGTTGAATGTTCAAGGGATGAACAAAATAACACGAGCTTTCTAACCAAGTATTGTATAGTTTGTAAATGTATTAGTTCTTATATGAAGCTTTATGTAGTGTGTCAATTTGTAAGTATTTATAACGTTGTCAAAGCTTTAGCACTTGACCTGATTATAACATAGTATGAAAATAAAAGCGAAAATGTCTTTAGCGTTGGAAGTTCAAATGTTGAAGCTTATGAATAATAAAAAAATAAAAAATGTATCTGTTTTTTTAAATTTATGATCTTCCGCTAGTCAAGATGAATAAGATAATAATTGAGATAAACTATTGGTAATTCATGAGTTAGTTATGATATGGATCCCTGTGTCACTGCCAAAAACTGTAACATTGTATTCGATTTTTTTTCTCTGCATGGCTATTGCTTTTATAAATAGTTTATGAAAAGAAACCCATGCATTGGATAACTTAAGAAGAGAATTGATAAAGATGAAATGAACACATGAGAAACAATAGCAGTGGTCTGGAAGTTTGAAAATTGAACGGGGCCAGACAAGGGATTGACCATTGAACCTCCAGTCATTTTATTGTCGCTCTAACCAACCTAGATACGTACGTAGACAGCGGTAGTACCTTGGTCCAGTTGCGTTACAAATACATTCATCAGGTTCGTTTGGTTTGTTTGTGTTTACGTCATATTAACAGCTATGATCATTTAAGGACGTGCCAGGTTTTGGTGGTGGAGGAAAGCCGGAGTCCACGACAAAAAAACACCGACCTACGGGCAGTACCTGGCGACTGCCCCACGTAGGCCTAGAAGCCGCGACCAAGTGGTGGAGGGCTAGTGGAAGCAGACTATCAGACGCCATAACCACGTCACCACCGCGGTCCCTCATTCACAGGTTACTATCTCTAGTGTTTCGTATGCGTTGGAACAGAGATCCTTTACTGATACTTTCTATTGCGTTAAAGCATTGCATTCCCACATGGTAGTGTGGCAAATTATTCTACACCAATGTTATACAAACGTTCATCTTATACAACCGTCATAATAAATTAAATATATAAAAATACAACAACATATCAGATAAAATTTTTTTATATCACACCTGAAAAAATGATTTACAATCTGTACACATTTACAACGTTTATAATGAACTCTTGCGACGTCATTTAATGTATATATTCACATTTGCATGGCATTGTCACTAAATAGCCTGTTTGAAAGCTGTGTCGTTGATGGGACTTTAGTTACCATGCATATCAGTTTGTGCAAACGAATAGATGCTAATTTAACTCCGATTCAAACATTGATTTAAAAATGTATACAAGCGTTATCGCTCGAACAATAAACAACTATAGAATAATTATTTTTACTTGTTAGTATACCCATGGAAATTATAGTAAAGATGTCTGATAAGCTCGTCTTCTTCCAATTTAACTGTCATATCACAGATCATCAATTAAGTTTACAGACAAAAATTAACACATCTTAGTAAAATACGTTAACAAATAAACCCTCCTGACAGTCCCTCTTGTCAAATGTGAATAAGGTTTCAAAAACGGAAATATACTGCTCTTTTCTTTTAAAGAAAAAATAGCATTATATATTTTTTGTAGCACTTTGTATGCGGAAATGCTGATGCTATCTTTCAGACAGTTTATTATTGTTATGGTATGTTTATTAGACAAGTGCGTCATAATGAATAGAAAACTGTTTGTTATTCATTGGGATTTTAGAAAAAGAAACGTGTTTTAAATAGGAATATTATGCTCTCCCTTCGTTTACAAAATTACGGAAAATGGGTGTTGCTAATTGTGTTCATTTCGTTAAACATACTTATAGCTTATGATAGTTTGGAGTTGTCATGGCTTCATAAATTTAGACCACACATGTTAACACCATGAAGGTGGTCCAAGTAATGTACCCGCCTAGAGATATATTCGACGGACTCTGAATTAGCCACCTTCCGGTGGTCGGGTGTCGCAGTGGATGACGCAATCGTCTTTCACCAAAAGCGGCCGGGGTTCAATCCGCCGATCGGAGTGAAAAGTATAGGTTGACCTGCCCGACCACGTTGGTTTTTTTCCGGGTACTCTGGTTTCCCCCCACTAACATCCGGGCCAAAAAAGGTGATTAATATAAGTTGTGATAACCTATTTTATAATTGTTGTAAAGGTATTATATTTATATATTAGTCACATGGTGTATTTATTTGTTTTTAGTCATGATTGGCTTCGAATAGTTAAAATTAAAGCTTAGCTTTCTGTATCGTGAGTCTATGTCATGTACTTTTATACATCGTCTGTTTATATTCTTTTATATTCAAACGAATACTACTCCTGAGTCGTTTGAAACGTGTGTGAAATAATTCCAACAGTTTACCTTTTCATTTATTATCTAAAACATGCTCTATTGAAAAATGTGTGAAATAGTGTATTATATTATTTCATGGATAAAATGCTGAAATTACTCAATGATATATTTGCCCAAATATGAATTGTATACTACAGTATAACTAATGATTGTATATATACAACAATAATTGAATGATTGTTTATACGTCTACGTATATTTACAATGTGAAATTAAAATCAATGGGGTATTTCACGGAAACAACTGCGGTAATGTTGAATATTTCCCCGAGACTTTTATATTGTTTAAGCTGGATTTCTTTATCACTGCCTTCGTTGAAGCCATGTCAACCGTATTGACAAAATATTTCGTATACAGAATTATTTATATACAAAGAAACAGCCCAGGAAATTCAACTTATTATACTTGTTATAAAAAACGCTATAATAATATTAATCGCCCATTTACATGTATCCCTCCACTTAAAAATCCAATGTATTTTATAGAACTAGATCAGGCCCACGACAAAATATTGTGAATTCCTAATCCAGGTGCACGACTTAAATAAAGGTTGTTTGGAAAGGTCAGTTATTGGTATGTAGCTGGCTTGTATTCACTATTCAATAACATAGTTTTGTAAATATATATGCAACTTAAATTAGAATTTTTTAAAGGTTCAAAAACTTTGAAAAAAATATAAAGTTATTCAATTCATATTTAAAACATACATTTTGAAACTCGTTTACTTGCATTGAAATGTATTGTATCAGTTTCGTGATGAATGGGATGAAGTTTAAAGAGATGTTTATATCTCGTGATGTTTGGCGTTAAGGCTATCTAAATAACAAATAAATCTATCATATAACCTACGGAAGGCAAGTTTCTAACAAGGCAATCTCAAGGGAAGTCTGCCAGAGAAGTTCCGTGAATAATTCATTGACTCAAACAACACTGCCCCTCTCCGTGTTAGCCCTAGGTAAAGGTGTGAGGAATTCTCTCTCTCTCACATAGTCACTATCGATCTACACTAGCAACAGTTATAAGGTTTGGCTCACTTGTTGTATAACTGTTAACCGATTTCTGAGACAAGGGTGCAAAATTACTCACAACATTATTAGTCAAAATGGCATTTCAAGCTGTTCAAGGAGCAGTCGATGTACCTTCGGTAGGTCTACTATTAAATGAGGATATCATTTTGAATGAATCTAAGTGAATGTTTTCAATTTTACCCTTTGCCTGACGCAAGTGTCTTGCATAATGCAACAGAGGGAATGCTTCGCAAGCCCCTATTCGGTATTTTCTTATGGCAGAGTTATCTGCTCTTGTTAGCAGGTATTGATTGTTACGTCATTTGTTTGTGAGAGTAACGTCATAATTGTTTTGAGAAAACGACGCAATTTTCTCACACAAACTAATGATGTAACAATCAACACCTGCTCACAAGAGCAGATAACTCTGCAATACGAAAAGACGGAAATACGTGTACATTTGAATAATCTACAGGAGTATGCTGATGAGACTACCATCAAGAATTTTTTAAACGAAATAAGAAATTTCTACTATTTACTCAAAAGTAAAACTTTTGCATATGTTTGCATGTAATTTCAAACATGCGAATAACATGATAATGATTATGTCAGAGAAAACAAGAACATTAATCACAGACTGGAAGTACGTCACAATATATCACAGTTAAAGTACAATTTTGACTGGGGTAGGATTGGAAAGAAACGAATCCAATTACTATAAACTACGTGAGTGGTGTCGTGTCCGTCACACTCATGTTCGACTGGTTTCGTTTCAAAGGTTTTATTCGGAATTTTCTTTTCTCTAATTCGATACTTCCGGATGACGTAGTCGAATCTGATAAACTGCAGGTTCGCTTTCTGCTGCTTTCGTCACACGTCCACGACGATGAAGTTGATGACGACCTGTCTTCCACGAACGTTTCTTTCGTGTCTGCACTTGAAGTGCTACCGTCGTTTAAAGAGTCCACACGGTTTCTAGAAAGTCGCTTCATTAACGGCGGTCTCTTAGCAACTTCGTTGGAATTTGCTTTTTGCTCACTTTGTTCACTTGCCGTAAAGAAAACGTCACTTCCCATTTTCATTTTCATTTTCGACCTTTTTTGCTTAAATGGAGGTTTTGATTTCAATTTGTCCTCCTTAATTTCATTAAGCTCTATATTTGTATTAGACGGTGTGACATCATTGTTGCTTTGCTCTTTTATTCGCTCCTCTGAAAAAGAAGATTTTCCTTCCAGACTTGGTTTAGATGACGTTTTACCTTTCAGAGGGGGGAGTGCTTTTTTCCCAGTAGGAATTTCCGACGCACCAACATCATTTATCCACTTTCCAGTAATGTTGGGTGCGGATTGGATCTTGCCCAATACTGATCCCTTTGGTAACGAGCGATTGTTACTATCAATTTTGATATTTTCCTCTTCAATACAATTGGTCTTCTTTGATACTCCGTTTGCCTTGTTTTCCTTATCATCTGGATTTCGTGAAGACAATTTGCTACTCCCGCCAGCCTCTAATTCAGATCCTGGAATTGATCTTTTTTCGTTTGTTCCAGATTCATTTGGATCGTTTTCCTTTTCGATGACAGATTCCTTGTCATCTGCACCCTTGTTAGCCTTTTTACCAGTGACAAAATTCACAAACTTTCTTACACTTAATGTTCTCTTAGCTGGTTTTTTAGTCGGAAGTACTTTTTTGTCTTTTGATTTTTTCTGTTGGTAGGGCTCTGCGCATCTCCCTCCGACTGGCTTCCGGGAGAATGTGTCAGCTTTCGCTGCCCTAATAACGGCCTTCTTCCTCCGATACAGACAGAAGTCAACAGTGATCCACACGGTGACAACAACGGCCGTGAAACCAGTGATAAGTGTTACCTGAATCCACTTGTCAAGCATGTCTGTAAGATACAAAACACGTTGAAATTACAAGGATTGAAATATATTTTTTAAACAGTATGATGGTTTGCTACAAAGTTATATTAAAACCTAGTTCATGACGGTAGCGCAAATTAAGAAAATATATTCGAATGGTAAACTTATGATAAATATTAACAACGTGTGCTTTAATACTGCTATTTACGTTGAAAAAAAACTCATCTTTTGGAGTACTTTCTTTCTGTTATAGATGTATTGTAAACAAACTGTTTTATTAAAGAAAACGAACAGTCCTATTTAATGGACCAAGGTTGTGGTTTCTATGATTACCAATCCCGACAAGCAACGAACGTCAATCGGAATCTATTCGGGTTTTTCCGTCATAGTTTGAATTTTATTTATTGATTCCGATTTTCTCTTGTAGTATGACGGAAATACCCAAACTGTCTCCGAATATTAATTTGTATTAGTTCATGTTGTTTCTGGTTTCAAACAACATTTACTGTTGCTAGGTTTGTACTGCAACAGCCAAGGCATATGAGGAAAAATACTGCTTTGCTGCAGTATGAATTGGGGCTCGCTCAATAGTTCAGCAACGTCGAGTGTGGTCAGTAGCTGGATTGGTACCCGACTGCACGTTACAATAGAGCAGCTTCATAAATGCTAACACTATAAGTTAATTGAGCATTGACTGTTATGGAAACATTTTAAATATCAAGAATTTAAAAAAAAATCTGTTCTAGCATTTTACAATTTTTTCTAACATTTTCTGTGAGATACTACGCTTAAACTTTTACAGTTTACTTTTTGAGCGATGAGCATACCTCTGATACTGTTTAACATTCAGTTACAAAGCAAAGACTTTTTATGATACATAATGCTTTACAGACAAATTAACTACTCTGAATGAGCTTCAAGCCCAACTACAAAATGTTGGAGTATTCGAGAATGCTTGCAAATATGACATATCAGAAGGATGTACTGTGCAGTAATATTAATGTTCAACATATCAGAAGGATGGCTGTGTAGTAATAATAATATTTAACATATCAGAAGGATGGCTGTGCAGTAATAATAATATTTAACTTATCAGAAGGATGGCTGTGCAGTAATAATAATGTTCAACATATCAGAAGAATGTACTGTGCAGTAATATTAATGTTCAACATATCAGAAGGATGTACTGTGCAGTAATATTAATGTTCAACATATCAGAAAAATGGCTGTGCAGTAATAATAATGTTCAACATATCAGAAGGATGGCTGTGCAGTAATAATAATATTTAACATATCAGAAGGATGGCTGTGCAGTAATAATAATGTTCAACATATCAGAAGGATGTACTGTGCAGTAATACTAATATTCAACATATCAGAAGTATGGCTGTGTAGTAGCGTAGCGTGATTGTGTTTAAACTTGTGACCTTTTTTACATTTAACTTGACTGCACAGACGACAGAGGCAGAACAGAAAAACTAAAACGGAAGCGGAACTAGAAATCAATCGGAAGTAAAAACGTGTTCTATATGGAATATTCTCTGCCTTCCACAATGCGATAGATGATGTGTTTTTTTTATATTAAAATCAATATGCACAGAAACAATAAAAAGAACGGGATGGAGGGCTTTACGGAAACCACATATCCACATTTTGTTTAAAAAAAAAAATGAACTGTTATTTCAGTGCTTGTTTACTGCCTCGAATGTTCATTCGAATTTGCCTCCTGCTTTATTCTAAATCTCATGAATGCACGATGGGACTGTAGTGGCAACCATTACATTAAAACACACTATTATTGTAAATTTGGATATAAAGTCTAGGCTGGGAATGACTAATACATTACTTAATCTCTAGAGAAATGCTCGATATAGCTGAAGAATGATAATAGACCATACCTAGTGTCTAGCATGGTGTGTATGTCCCTCTACTAAAAATGCTATGTACTACATTGAACAATTGGACGGGAGCTATATACATTTGCACGTTTTTTACATGGATATTGCATCTCTGTTATTTCATTTCGACACGATTTTTTTTTTGATGGAATTGTTTTAAATTATTAAAGTACGGAATGCACCTGATGTGATATGCTTTTAGACACCAATGTAGTCTAATATAGATTTAGCTGAAATGTTTCACACTTGACGTCTCCTAACCTACCACGCGCTGTCATATCAGCATGCAATGAAGTCAGTATTATAGACATTGCCGTTATATTGAATTGAGATTATAAACAGCAGTTTTCACTAAAATACAATTGATATTCTAAAATGTTTGAAACGTGCTGTAATTGGGAAAATGAAATTGATTTTTCGAAGAGCTTGAAAGTCAGGGCGATAAGTTAGGTACAAAACAAACGCAAGGACATATACAATTATTTGTATCTGCATCTGAACCGTTTTAAAATATCCTTCCAATTTCATACAGTTTCGTTTTCTTTTTTACTGAAAAATAGTTTCCATTTTCATGCTTCATTCTTCTGCAGGTAATTGTTTTCCCTGAATCACCAGTATGGCAGAATATCAATAAATGTCCGGAGAGAATGGTACATTGTGTATCAGTACCTGCTAGGAGTTGGTAAATATAGTATGGTTCTCCACTAGTTGGAAATGCCCTGGACGGTATTCATTGGTCAATGTTCTGATTGTGACGTTACATGTATGTAACAATGCTTTGTGACGTCATTTTCTAGTAGGACGCCAATCCTTTTGCTTTGAATATGACAGGGCAGAGATTGGTTTTATTTGTAAAAGAAGAATATTTAACGCTTCTTCTTAACAAAAACTGCCCGGTTTCCACCGTCATGTTGTTTGAAATATATGGTAAGTTATGTTGTTACGTCAAAATCATACGTTGACAGAAATTCCGGAATAGTTTCTGATTGAAGTAAAAAAATAATCCGACTGGTTTCCAACTTTATATACTGGCATAGATCTAAAGTCTGAAAGTGATATTACAATAGGTTACGTAATACGTGTAGATATAATTCAAGCGAACTGAATTCCGTTTCAATTTTAGAACTTTGATAAATGTATCTATATTGTTTCCGTTTTATTCCTGGTACACTTGTATGCATTGTACTGAACGTCGGCATGAGCTGCATCACCTGACAAAGATAAAGGTACAACAGGAAAATCGCACTGAGGTCACAGTGACCGAGTGAACAGTTTATTACCGGGTCACAGACTAACACGTGTTTGCCTATGTTATAGGTAATGAATAATTTATGATTTAAGTACCGGCACCTTTTTGAGGGGAGATTAATTTGCGTTTCACACAACGTGTACTAGTTTGTCGTTATGTTCAAATTATGGTTTTCTACATGGTTGAATTTGCAATAGATGTTTTCTTTCCCGAGCTACCACAAACGTATATATCGCATATACATTATCTACGGTTACCCCTGCAGGATTCGGAAAAAAGGGCCTGCAGGATTCTACTTCAAACCATCGTAAGAGGCAACTAATAAGCTCCCTCACATCCCTGTGGAACCGGGGGTAATATTTTCTGTCTCCTGCTTATAGGAACATAGAAAAGACCAAAATTGATTTACTAACTTCATTTTGAAACACGTGGGATCTAATTATTTTCTTTTCTTGCTTCTTTTCTCTTTCCTTCCGGTGGTGTCTCTCTAAGCACCAATCTTCCTAAGAAACTTGGAGCTTGCGAGAACGTGAAAATACTTAACCCTGCGTATACTTCGTCGGGGATGCACTTAATGAGTGTTTAATATATAAAAGGCTCTCACACTATATAGACGCAAATAACACATAAATCCCGACTATGCCCTTTCTATGCACGAGATAATGCTAACAGTTTCCGTTCGGACAATCTTTTTGATCGTATCAGTAATGAATGATTAATGTGTGGTCAATTATCTCAAAAGAGAAAAACACACACAACTTAATTACTGCAGAATACTGAATTCCCACTAGTTCTGCGTATGTACGCATTTGAAGCATCCCTTAACACAATATAATGTATATGTTTGGTATCAGTATGATGTTCAACGCTTCTTGCCGATTTATTTGAATCATTTAAACCAATTTTTAGTTTTAAATACAATAATGATAATACTAGTACCAGGAACTGACAATGCTAGCATCTGGAACTGACAATGCTAGTATCCGGAACTGACAATGCTAGTATCCGGAACTGACAATGCTAGTATCCGGAACTGACAATACTAGTACCCGGAACTGACAATGCTAGTAGTATAGCCGGAACTGACAATGCTAATACCCGGATCTGAATTTGCCAGTTACCGGAACTGACATTGCTATTATCCGGAACTGACAATGCTAGTAACCGAAACTTAAATTACTAGTATTCGGAACTGACAATGCTAGTATCCGGAACTGACAATGCTAGTAGCCGGAACTGACAATGCTAATAACCGGATCTGAACTTGCCAGTTACCGGAACTGACATTGCTAGTATCCAGAAATGACAATGCTAGTAACCGAAACTTAAATTACTAGTATTCGGAACTGAAAATGCTAGTATCCGGAAATGGAAATGCTAGTCACCGGAACTGAAATGCTAGTAACCGTAACTGACAATGCTAGTATCCGGAACAGACAATGCTAGTATCCGGAACTGACATTGCTAGTATCCAGAAATGACAATGGTAGTAACCGAAACTTAAATTACTAGTATCCGGAACTGACAATGCTAGTATCCGGAACTGACAATGCTAGTAACCGGAACTGACAATGCTAGTATACGGAACTGACAATGTTAGTATCCGGAACTGGCAATGCTAGTAATCGGAACTGACAATGCTAGTTACCGGAACTGACAATGCTAGTATCCGGAACTGACAATGCTAGTAACCGGAACTGACAATGCTAGTATCCGGAACTGACAATGCTAGTAACCAGAACTGGCAATGCTAGTATACGAAAGTTATACGTATATTATCATAACAACTTAAGGATTCCCGTACCACTCAAAAAAACAAATTAACTCTCAAAAATGTTTTTTTTTTTTCCAGTATGACCATAGCCTTAATACAGTCTCT